AGCCCCAGCCCCCCTTTGGAGGTAACAAATTAAGGATTTTTCTATAAAATTAGAATTTATGAAGCCAATTCCAAAAATTTATGTTGGCCCATTTGGTGGTGACCTATGTGTGCACGAGGCCCACTCCTTTACCACATCACTATCAACCCAATACAATTGAACACCTTATAGAGTGAAGACTTCTTCTTCCTTGTACCAATGTAGTTCAAAGGCAAATCCATGTGTTTCGAAATACACAGTTGCTGTCACATATATGTTATACAAGATTAAAATGAAAAATATTACAGTGCGTTATAGGATTATATGGGCATAGGTGATGTTTCTAGCATAATTTTATTTAGGTAAATTACATTGACACCTCCTGAGGTTTATATTTATTATAGTTTTCTCCCTTACTTTTTGAAAATTACATCTCCCTCCCTGAGGTTTAAAGTTTCATAACAGTTCCCCCTCACCGTAATGATCATCATACATAAAATTAAATTAACAGGGGGGTCAGTGTAATTTCCCAAATGTGAAGGGGGAACTGTAATAAACATAAACCTCAAGGGTGTCGGTGTAATTTACCCATTTTAGTTTGTTACTCTTAATGGTTACGTGTTACTTATGTTGGTGCATAAATGTAATTATGTTATTTTAATATTAAAATTATATATATATATATATATATATATATTGTGATGCATTTGTGTGTATACATATATTATGTCATTTAGTGTAATTAATAAAATTATAGTTATATAATATTGCAATATGGTGAATTGAAAGGGTTGAGTGTAAGTTTATCTCTCAGCGAATTATTACAGGTAAATAACATTCCATATAATTCATATGAAAGGTTATGAGTTATATGATTTATTATGGTGAGTTACAATTGATTCATTATTATATTAAATGCGAGAATTCTTTATTTGTGTGTGTATGTATATAAATTAGAGTTTGTGAATTCATATTTTAAGTGGAGAATAAATGTATTTGTATGTATTTTATATTGTGTTTATAGAGATTATTAGACAATCTGTAAGGGTGTTTTTGTGGTGGAGTTTTGGAATTGCCTACTTATGTAGGGTTGGTTGAATCAATACGACTAAAAGTCGGACTGTTATATTCTGCAGGAGACAGACTAATATGTAATATTCTACTACATCAGGGAGTGGTAGTTTTATTAACCGAGAAGGGCTTGAATTTTCTTAAAGAGAGCGAGATTACCATACATCAATCCGATTTATTATATATATTTGGAGATATGATGTGTAATACATACATAATTTAATATAGTGGACGAGCGGTAATATCCATGAATGTAGATAAATTTGTCAAATCACGTAAATCTGATATTTTCTCTTCTTACTCATATTTATTTTGATTGTACAATTATTTATTTATTTTGATAAACACTCCAACAACTTACAAAAACAAAAATCAATTGTTTCAATATCAACTACCTATCAAATACTAAACACGTTTTGATTGGGAAGTTGATATCAAAATAGAAATGGTGTGGATTAAGCAGAAGTTCCCTACAATTTTAGATAAAACTATGATTTTCTTGATATGTATAGACTATTGGGAAAACTCGGTACAAAAAGGCACGTGAGCATTAATTTAATCACCTAAATTATTTTAATGCACTTTCTTGTGTGTGTTTTTTTGTTTTTTGAATTGAGAAGTGTTTCAAAAGTGAAGGAACTATACGTGTTGAAATGGCAACATGTTTTATGTGACCCAGCGTTTTTAATTTAACCCATGCCCGTCTTTTTGAGTGTCAAATTTTGCTGAAATTTATTATATGCTTTGATAATTTCTCCCCCAAGAAAATGATTTACATATGTACACAAATTGGCATCTCCAACCCGGTCCACAAGCATTTCCCATTCCCATTCCCATTGAGGAAGTAGGGTGGGGTAGGTTTCTTTTCCTCCTCGGCCCACCATGGCTACATGTATTAAAAAATATTTTTTTGTGTATGTTTGGATATAATATTATTGAAAAAATTATAAGTTTGGATATAATATTTGTTAAATAAAAAGAAAATGAAATGAAATTATTTGTAATTTTTTTTATGGGTAACAAACATAATAATTTTTTATGTTTTTCAGAAATGTCAATTTTTACTTTTATTTAAAAATTTTTCAAGCCTCACTAAACAAATAATCTAGACCCTTGCTGATATTTTTTTCATTCAGCCATTATTTAACAATTGATCCATTCGAGCCACATATTTTTTGACCACCAATCATTGCTGTTTCAAAATATACAATCAAACAAATCAAAAAAATTTCTAAATTCTCTTTCCCAAATTTTTTTTTGAAAAATTATCTTAAAACACAAACCAAACGCACCAATCTTTAAAGTTTTCATTTCTAATTTTTTTTTTCAATCAATTATGGTTGTAAATGAGTCGAGTCGAGTCATGCAGTAAACTGTTTAGATTTAGCTTAAAAATTTAACTAGCTAGTTTTAAAATATGTTTGTGTTTGGTTTGATTTTGGGAGATAAATTTTCAAAAAAGATTTTGGAGGATAGAGTTTAGAAATTTTTTTGATTTGTTTGGTTGTATATTTTGAAAGAGTGGTGATTTAGAGCACTAAATTTGAAAATCTAAAAACATCACTAATGAGGTGGCAATATAAAAAAAAATAAAAATACATAAAACAAAGGCCAAACTATCACATGGTGGAGTCCACATGATGCCACATCATTGGTGGTGCATTAGTGGTGCAAAATTAGTGGTATGAAACATTTTTTATTTTGAAAATAGTTTTGGAGTATGGGAGTTTGGAATGACTTGATGTTTGTGAGAGAGAAAAAGTGATTGAGAAGGAGAGAGAAGAGAGAAAAAATGATTGATTAATGTGTAGGAGAGATAGTTCAAAAAAAAATGTGTAGGAAAGATAAAGTGATTTTGAAATTTTTTTTTTCTAAAATCACTAAACAAAATCTTGGAAATTTTCTCCAAAATTTGTTTCTCAAAAACAAACCAAACAAGACCTGTTTTTTGAGTTAATCTCATATGAATTTTAATCTAGTCAAACTCATGCAATTTGAATTTTTCTAGTGTATCTAAGGTTTCATTTAATTATAGTTTAAAAGTCAATTTATTAGCCAAAAATGTATATTTTACTTAAAAAGTTTGGACTTGTTTGGTAAACTCAATTTTTGTCAAAAAATTTATTTTAACTTCTCTTAAAAATCATTAGAAAAGTGAGAAAAATTAGGAATGTACTAAACAAACTAAAATTTTTAATATTAACATTTAATAATACTATGTCAACATTACACTGATAACAAGTTGAGTAGAAGCTCTATTTTAGATTTTGGATATGTATAAGATTAGAGATTTTCCATTGTGTATTTTTTTTTTTTTTTAATTTTAATCATATTTTCTAGCACCTACTCATGATAGGAGTGAGGTTGACCGCTTGTTTGCTTTGAATTTTCAGAATTTATTTTTCAAAAAATTAAATTTTCTTATTTTTCTTATTTTTTTATTTTCATTAATTTTTTTAATATTCTAAGTAATTTTTTAATTTTTAGATACACTTAACATAAATACACTTAAAAAAAATATAATATTTGTGAAAAAATCTTTAGAAAATTTACTAAATACCAAAAATACAAAAAAAAAAACGAGAATTCAATATATTTTTCGTATTTTTGTGTATTTATTGATTTTTTAAAATATTTTTTTACAAATATTTTATTTTTTAGATACATCTAAGTAAGGTGCATCTAAAAAAATTTTAAAAAAAAATTGATTAAAATTTTTAAAATATACACTAAAAAAAAAAAAAACTTAAATTTTAAAAAATTGAATCCAAAAAATTAAAACCAAATTGTGAGTCGGCTATAAAAAAAAAAAATCGATAAAAAGTAATATGTGCAAGACTTTTTTGATATTGAATTTATGGGGATAAAATATTACCCTTCCTGTTTATTTTTTATGTATCCAGAATACAAATACAGTTATGAGATAAATACGCTTCCACATATTTTTAACACAAAACAAAATGGTTAAGGAGTAGGGGCATTCTCAAAATTACTCACGCTTTTGACATTGAAAATAAATTTATTTGAATGGAAATCATTTTTTAAAAAATATTTTTAAAAGGTAAAAACAATTTTCAAATTAAATACTTATCTATGTCACAAAAACTTTCACCGCCATCTCCGCTAACTCCACCACCATCATAACTACCGCCCACCAATTATCACTCACACTATTATTAATACAATTACTAGCACATTAGTTAAAAAGTAACAATCAAACACACAAAAAATAAAATAAAATAAAATAAAATCATAAAAAATGATTTTGTTAGAATAGATCCAAAGATTGTTGTAATTTCCATTGTTAACTTTCAAAGATCGGTTTATCAAATTATCAGTAAACTTAAACCGTAACCATTTCATTTCCCTGTTATCAATGGCTTTCCACGACACCAATAATAATAATTGATTTATAGAGAACCATAAATATTCAAAAAATTACAGATACCGTATTTTTTTCTTTTTTCTTTTTTTTGGAGAATCAGATAAACTAGAAAGGACAAGAGGCAAGATACAGAACATAAACTTAACAAGCATGATTAAGTCACTTGTTTTATTTTATTTTAGTTTTGATTACAAAGTATTTTTTTCTTTTTTCTTTTTTCTTTTTTTAATCCCTACTGCTGCTGCTGCTGCTGCTACTACTAGAATTTTGTATTTCTAATGTTTTTTCTTACAATGAAAAACACCTTTCCCAACTAAGTTTAAACCTTTTGTTTATGAGTTTTTAATAGTGATAGACCTCAACATGTTCAATTATTTAATATTGAGAATATATTAGCTTTTATATAGATTTTAGTACTTATTTCCAAGCGTTTTCAAATTCTTTTGTCATTCAAATTCAACTGACATTTACAAAATATTTCCAAAACATTTTCGTTTCCAAGCTAACTTTAACAACATACTAGAACAAAATTTTGACCCTTGGTTGTCACAGGAAAGCGTGGATAATATTATAATCACTTTTCATATTTTCATATTGTAAGTTCTAATGAAGAATAAATTGAGATAAGATTTTTCCCAAAAAGTAATAATCGAAATAAGGAAAAAGATGACCATTTCAGTTGTTACAGGATCCAAAATTGGTTCATCAGCTGGTGCCTGATTGAAAAGCATGTTGCCCCTTGTCGCACGAAACAACATTCGCTCAAACCTAAGAAGTTTGGATTTACTGATAATGCCACTAATAAATCTTAAACCAGATTGATTTGATGGCTCATGTCGCATCTCCTGTAGAATAAATTATTTATTGAATGACCATGTTAATCGTTGCTGAAAAAGTTTCATGTTTATAGTTAATCATGCAAAATAGTATTCAACAAAGCAGCCAATTACCTGTTCAAGTAAAGATGCTGTATCTGCATAGTCATCATTAGAGTACACATGATCATCTAACTCTCTTTCCTCTGCAACTGCATGGCTCTTACTTGAAACAAGGAAACCACTTGCCTGGAATCACCCATGTGAAGGCATGAGAAAAGCAAATAAAACTAGATTTTGAAAGGAATGCTTCATATACATACATTGTCAAGAAACATAACTTCAGTTATTCGGCAAAGGTCTATTTAGCCACAATTTCATAATAATTAAGTAGATTTAGGTATGTGATGTATTTATACTCCATCTGAAATAATGAACACATTAATAAGGAAAAAACAGAGATCACTTGACAATTTGGGGCTCATGAACCAATGTTTACAGTTAGTCAAATATAGGAGCAATGAGGCTAGAACTGCAGATATAAAGTAAAGATAATTTCTTGAAGATACAATCACTGTAAAGACTTAATAAACAAGTATTTTTATATTTGAGATAGCAAAAGAAAAGAAACCAACAAATGATCAGGAAAGCTTTGATCACACAAAGAAGCAGCTTGATTTACATATCTGTAAATAGCAAAACAGCAGCTTAAATACATGAATTTGAGAAATAAATATATCACTTGAGTAATGGTAGGTTTTCCCACAATCATTACTTCTGTAACTGTAAAAGGGCATTTATATCGAGAAGCAACATATAGATGTTATCGGTGCCTACTGCACTCAAGAAAATTGCAAGAAAGTATACCTTCTGCAGTACCATCTTGAACTCTAGCAGCTCATTGTACGTTTGTCGTAGTTTCTCAATGTTATGGTTCATTTCAATCAACTCATGTTCATGCAGCAAGTTGTATCTAGAATTAAGAGAAAGACAATAATAAAGCACATTAGATCATAACTTAATAGAAAAAATGCACATTAGTTCTCTAAGAAAAGTTGCCTTTGCAAGAAAGAGGAAATGGTTCTTCACTTTTTGACCATTTCTTACAGCATATGGTTATTGCTGGCACTACAAGAGGGGGTAAAAAAATCCAGACAGAAAGAAAGGAAAACAACATAAAAATTATGAGGACAAAAAAAAAAAGGTTCCCTTGTCAGTAGATGAGGATTAATAACTAGAAATGGACCTCTAATTCCTCCAATTCCACGTGTTCTAGCATAGCAGGATGAGCAAAAGACATTAGACTGGCTTTTTGTATTTGATCTTTGAAAAACCGTAGCTTTCTTGACATTTCTGCACATCTTTTTACCTGTGAAATGACTCCCAAAAACATGAAAATAAAAATGATAAAAGGAGACTGTAGTAGATATCATTCCACCTATAAAAAATATATTGAAGTAATTTTGTTTAGCACTAAGTTCATACCTCAAGGTGATCTAGAAATATGAAAATAAAAATGATAAAAGGAAACTGTAGTAGATATCATTCTACCTATATAAAATATTTAAGTAATTTTGTTTACCACTAAGTTCATACCTTATCTAGATGGGCATTTCACAACATCCATCCGGATATTTGGATGCATGAAAGCATGAGATGAATTCTAAATGCAATGGTGGGCTTGGATTGATAACATTAGGAAACTTGGCGTAAGTTCACAGTTGGATGGCTATGGAGTGAGGCATGGTTTCGGAGGTTTTATCTCCCCGGCGACTGATTTTTCATGGTGATCGATCTTTTGAGTTCGAGGAGGGGCAGGAAGATGGCATTGGATGCAGACGTATCGAGATTGTTGAACGGGGGCAGGGACTTCGTCGGGCTATTGATTTGGTTGGTGCTGAGATTAAGTGGGTGGCGTCACAATTGCTTCGAGTGTCTAGTAGGGTGGCCAATGGGGACGACGAAGTGTGGCCTGTTGGCTTCGTCACGGGGAGGAGGGCGAGTAAGTTCAGGTTATGGTCCAGTCGGGGGATCGGCGACGACAGATTTTCATCCCTCAATCATCTCACGGAGACGGTTGGGAAGGGGTTGCCTTGGTTTTGGAAGGTTTTTGGGGAAATAATGGTTGGGTGTCCAGGGGGCATCCAAATCACATTGGTACAGTAAGAGCTTGGCCAGACGGTGCAGGGGTAGCAGTGGCGAGGTCTGTTGGTAGGGAGGTGGAAGTCCAGCAGGGGTCCGAACTAGGGTGGGTTGGTTTTTTGGATTCTTGTTTGGTAGGTCGAGTGGGTGCTCTGGGGGAGAAGGGCATGGAGGCTCACCAGTTGTCGGCATGGGCAAATCGGGCATGGAGCGTCACTAGAGGGGTACAAGTGAAACCGATTGGAGGCCAATTTGTAATGTTCGCCTTTTCGAACAGAGGTAATGCTATTCGGATTTTGAATAATGCATGGGTGGTTGATGGTCGACCCCTACAGCTTGAACGGTGGTCGCCGGAGGTACTGTGCACTAAGGGTCGTTCTTTGCCCCTACAGAGTGTTTGGGTACAGGTGTTGGGACTTCCGATTCACCTTCGAGGGGAGCAAGTGTTTCGAGCAATCGGGGATCGGTGTGGGGGGTTTTCTGGCCACCGATGTTGCGACGACGACGACAACGATGGAGTCACTGGGTTGTATTTGTTTGAAGGTTCGGGGTTCGGGGCATGGAGTCCGCTGCGGATTCATGTTAGATGGGGCCAATGGCGGTACATCCTTCCAGTCTGGTTAGAGGTGGGTCCGGCCATGGAGCAATGGAGCTCGCCGGAAAATCGTGCCCAGCAACGACCGAATTTGGAATCGCGAGATTTAGGGAGATTTGGACGTCGTGATTTTGGGCGAGAATGGCGGAGGCCAGATTTGCAGAATAATAGAGATAGGGTCAGATCATCTTAGATTTGGTTACCAAAGCAGCGAGGTCAGGGGGCTGGGCCTACCTTGGGCCGAAAGATTAGGGGAGGTACTCAATTTGTTGGGCCACAATTTCGTTCCACCTGTGACCAAAACGGCAAACGAGAGGGACTGGGACTGGGTCTGGGTTTGGGTCCATTTAATGGGCTTGGGCCAAATAAAAAACCTACAGTGCATGTGGGCTCTAGGAGGGCGTCTGGCAGTGGATTTGGGCTCAGTGTGGGGAAAGTGGGCCACTTTCAATTGAATGAGCTCTTGGGCAATACAGGGAAGAGTCCATCTGGGCAAAGTAGGGTCCAATCTAATGGACACACGACTTCAGTGGCCAAGATTTTTGATACCCTTTATCAGGGATTGGATCTTCCTCAAGCGGATCGGGTTTTGACCTCTACGAGAGTTCTGACTGTAACGACGGGCGACCCATCGACGTCGGATCAATGCTTGGCTGATGGTGGTGAGGATTTCACACCTTGGCAGGGGGCGGAGCAGGTGGCCGAAGTCAGTCGTCTCAAGGTGGGGGCTTTTTTGCCACAGTCTCACGACGATGGGGGTCGATATAGGGAAGATACGCCGATAGCTGCGATTTCGTGGGGCGATCAAATGGAGACTGTGGTTGATGTTGGGAAAGAACCATCCCTGGTGGTTCAGCCCTTGGCTATGGAAAGTGACAAAGGGCTGTGGCAAGACGGTTCAAACTCAGCTTCAGGCCATCATGCTGGGTTTGGTGAAACTGCGATTCCTTCTGACGCTGCTATGTCTGAATGGGTCCTGGACAGGATTAGTGAGGTAAGCCGCTTGTTAAGAGTGTCTTTTGAAGGACATGAGGCAGAGGCCATGCGATTATTTTCAGCGGTAGAGGCATCACGGAGGCCAGGGAGTTCTAGTTTTGGAACGGGCAGAAAGCTGTCGCCAGCAGCAGGCCGGAAAGGGGCTTGTGAGCTTAAAAATCTGCATTGTTCAATTAATTATGACCATGTCGACAGGATGACAGGGCGAGAGGTTCGTAAGCCACCGGGGGGGGGGCTTTTGTTGAAATGAGATTGAAAATTTTGTCATGGAATGTGTAAGGGTTGAACGATAGGGATAAGAGGATGGTTGTCAGTACAGTGGTGCGAAATGCTAAAACGGATGTGGTATGTTTACAAGAAACAAAAATGGAGGTAATGGAGGATGCGGTGGTGCGACAAATTTGGGGTGGTCGTTTTGTGGAATGGATTTATTTGCCTGCAATGGGTGAAGTGCCAGCAGGAGGGATTCTACTCTGTTGGGACAACAGGATCGTAGTGAGGGAGGGACAGGAGTTAGGGGGTTTCTCGGTTTCTTGCTTGTTTAGGTGTGTGGCAAATAGTTTTCGGTGGGTGTTTACAGGAGTATATGGGCCGGTTTGTCATGCCGAATGGGCTGAGTTTTTTTTAGAGCTGGAAATGGCTGCGTTCCGGTGGTCGGAACCATGGTGTGTGGGGGGTGATTTTAATGTGGTCAGAGGGCCGATTGAGAAGGTGGGGAATAGTCGGGTGAACGGTGCAATGCGGGCCTTTTATACATTTATTGATAATTGTCAACTGATGGATTTACCGCTTCATAGGGGGAGCTTTACTTGGTCTAATGGGCAGCAGATGTCTCGAATTGATAGATTTTTGGTCAGCGGAAATTGGGAGGAACATTTTGCGGGGGTTATGCAGCTTTGTTTGCCTCGTCCAGTTTAGATCATTGGCCTCTTCTGTTGGATAGTGGAGGTTTTCGTGGCGGGCCTACGCCATTCCGTTTTGAGAACATGTGGTTACAGTCTACCGGTTTCATTGACATGGTCCAGAAGTGGTGGCAGAGCTACGTGGTGTTTGCTCGCTGAGTGGTAGGCTGACTCAAAAACTGAAGCTACTTAAAGGTAACTTGAAACAGTGGAACACAGAGTCGTTCGGTCAGCTAGAGACGCAGAAAGTGGAAGTGCTAGGGATTTTGCAGTTGTTCGATGAGCTGGAGATGAATGGGGGGTTAAGGGAAGCAGATCTTGCTAAGAGGGAGGCGGCTAGGCAAGATTTTGTTCGTCTGGCTCGTATGGAGGAGGTGTGCTTCCGACAGAAATCTAGATGCTAAGAAGCATGGACACGGACACGTGACACGACACGAATACGAGGGAGGCGGCTAGGCAAGATTTTGTTCGTCTGGCTCGTATGGAGGAGGTGTGCTTCCGACAGAAATCTAGATGTTTATGGTTGAAGGAGGGGGACCGAAACACAAAATTCTTTCATCGCATGGCAAATTGCCATCGCCGGGTAAACCAGATTGTTAGATTGCGGATAGCTGGAACTGACTTGACCACAGTTATAGAGATTAGAGAGGGTATAGTGGGCTTCTATCAGACTATGTTTAGTCGGCAGGAAGGACAGTGGAGGCCAGGTTTGGATGGGGTGCTTTTTGACGCTATTGATGGAGGAGATAGGGAGGCTCTAGAGATGGATTTTTCTGAAGAGGAGGTTATGGGGGCTTTGAAGGCTATAAGTGGGGACAAGGCTCCAGGTCCAGATGGGTTCACGATGGCCTTCTTCCAGCACTGTTGGTGGGTAATTAGGCAAGATGTGATGGCCGTCTTTCAGGCTTTCTCTAGTTCGGGGCGGTTCGAGAAGAGTCTCAATGCGACTTTTTTGGCTTTGATTCCAAAAAAAGGAGGGGCTGAGGATATTCGGGATTTTAGGCCTATTAGTTTACTTGGAAGCATGTATAAGCTGTTAGCTAAAGTTTTAGCAAATAGGCTGCGTGGTGTTTTGCCAACAGTGGTGTCTGAAGCTCAAAATGCATTCATCGGGGGTTGTCAGATTCTGGATGCCATATTAGTAGCTAATGAATGTGTTGACTCGAGGCTTCGGCAAGGGCGTCCCGGGGTGATCTGTAAGTTGGATATTGAGAAGGCCTATGATAGTGTTAATTGGGAGTTTCTCTTCTATGTTATGAGGCGGATAGGTTTTGGGGAGAAATGGTGTCGGTGGATGAAATTTTGTATTGCTACGGTCCAGCTATCTGTATTGGTGAATGGTACACCGGTGGGATTCTTTTCTACTTTTCGTAGACAGGGAGACCCCTTGTCGCCATTGTTGTTCCTCTTGGTAATGGAGGCCTTTACTAGATTTTTGGGACGGGTTGTAGCTGAAGGCTTGTTGGAGGGTTTTTCGGTCGGATCTTTGGGCGGAGGAGTGGTGGGTGTTTCGCATCTTTTGTATGCAGATGATGCTTTGGTCTTTTGCGAGCCGCGTGCTGAGCAGTTGGGCTATTTGCGGTGTGTTTTGAGACGGTCTCGGGTCTAAGAGTGAATTTGAGTAAGTCTGAGTTAATCCCAGTAGGGGAGGTTGACAGAGTCCCCGTGTTAGCAGCTATTTTGGGGTGCAAGGTGTCAGCTCTGCCAGTTTCTTATTTAGGCTTGCCATTAGGTGCTACTTTTAAGTCGCAAGGGGTGTGGAATGGTGTGGTGGAGCGAGTGCAGCGGCGGCTGGCAGGTTGGAAGAAGCAATATTTGTCAAAAGGGGGACGTTTTGCTTTGATTCAGAGTGTGCTGAGTAGTATTCCGACTTACTTTATGTCGGTACAGGTAATTCCGATTTCTGTGGCTCGACGTTTGGAGAAGTTTCAGAGAGATTTTCTGTGGGGGAGTGGAGAGGAGGTTTTCCGTTATCATTTGGTGGGATGGGATCGGATTTGTTCTCCAAAGGATGCGGGTGGTTTGGGGGTCCGGAGTTTGGTTACTTTTAATCGAGCCTTATTGGGTAAATGGTTTTGGCGTTTTGCGTGGGAGCGAGACCGGCTTTGGCGAAGGGTGACTGCTGCAAAATTTGGGGTGGATAGCGGGGATTGGAGGACGGGAACAAGTACAAGATTTCATGGGCGGGGTTTGTGGAGAGGGATTTGGTTTGGGAGGGATGAGTTTTGGAATCGAGTGCATTTCCAAGTAGGAAATGGGGAGAGGGTTCGGTTTTGGAGGGATAAATGGTGCGAGGAGGTGTTGTTGGAAGATCGATTCCCTTTGATTTTTGGCATTGCGGCAGATCCTGAGGTGACTGTTGCAAATTGTTTGGGGAATGGAGAGGTGGTAGTCTGGGACGTCCGCCTGCGGCGGGCAGTTCAGGATTGGGAGGCTACTCAATTGGAGGAGATGTTGGGGTTTTTATATGGTTTGGGACCCGTTGGGCGAGGGAAGGATAGGGTGGTGTGGTCAGTGTTGGGTTCAAAAGGCCTTTTTACGGTGTCATCCTTTTATCGGAGTCTGGTGGGGGGGGCAACTTCGTTGTTCCCTTTGCGAAGCATTTGGGTTCCGAGCATTCCTTCTAAGGTAGTGTTCTTTTTGTGGACAGCTGCTTTGGGCCGGAATCTCACTATTGATAATTTGGTCCGTAGAGGTCATGTCTTAGTGAATCGCTGCTGTATGTGTTGTAGGGATGCAGAGTCGGTGGATCATTTATTTCTTCATTGTGATGTGGCAGCTCGTCTATGGGGGTTGGTATGTTCTTTGTTTGGGGTTGTTTGGGTGCAGCCCAAGGGGTGTTGGAGATGTTATGGGGTTGGCGAGGTGCTCGTGTTGGTTGTCGACGTTGGCGGATAGGATATTCGGGATTTTAGGCCTATTAGTTTACTTGGAAGCATGTATAAGCTGTTAACTAAAGTTTTGGCAAATAGGCTGCGTGGTGTTTTGCCAACAGTGGTGTCTGAAGCTCAAAATGCATTCATCGGGGGTCGTCAGATTCTGGATGCCGTATTAGTAGCTAATGAATGTGTTGACTCGAGGCTTCGGCAGGGGCGTCCTGGGGTGATCTGTAAGTTGGATATTGAGAAGGCCTATGATAGTATTAATTGGGAGTTTCTCTTCTACGTTATGAGGCGGATGGGTTTTGGGGAGAAATGGTGTCGGTGGATGAAATTCTATATTTCTATGGTCCAGCTATCTGTATTGGTGAATGGTACACCGGTAGGATTCTTTTCTACTTTTCGTGGCCTTAGACAGGGAGACCCCTTGTCGCCATTGTTGTTCCTCTTGGTAATGGAGGCCTTTACTAGATTGTTGGGGCGGGCTGTAGCTGAAGGCTTGTTGGAGGGTTTTTCGGTCGGATCTTTGGGCAGAGGAGTGGTGGGTGTTTCGCATCTTTTGTATGCAGATGATGCTTTGGTCTTTTGCGAGCCGCGTGCTGAGCAGTTGGGCTATTTGCGGTGTGTTTTGCTGTGTTTTGAGACGGTCTCGGGTCTGAGAGTGAATTTGAGTAAGTCTGAGTTAATCCCAGTAGGAGAGGTTGACAGAGTCCCCATGTTAGCAGCTATTTTGGGGTGCAAGGTGTTAGCTCTGCCAGTGTCTTATTTAGGCTTGCCATTGGGTGCTACTTTTAAGTCGCAAGGGGTGTGGAATGGTGTGGTGGAGCGAGTGCAGCGGCGGCTGGCAGGTTGGAAGAAGCAATATTTGTCAAAAGGGGGACGTTTCACTTTGATTCAGAGTGTGCTGAGTAGTATTCCGACTTACTTTATGTCGGTACAGGTAATTCCGGTTTCTGTGGCTCGACGTTTGGAGAAGCTTCAGAGAGATTTTCTGTGGAGGAGTGGAGAGGAGGTTTTTCGTTATTATTTGGTGGAATGGGATCGGATTTGTTCTCCAAAGGATGCGGGTGGTTTGGGGGTCCGGAGTTTGGTTACTTTTAATCGAGCCTTATTGGGTAAATGGTTTTGGCGTTTTACGTGGGAGCGAGACCGGCTTTGGCGAAGGGTGATTGCTGCAAAATTTGGGGTGGATAGCCGGGATTGGAGGACCAGAAAAGTTACAAGATTTCATGGGCGGGGATTGTGGAGAGGGATTTGGTTTTGGAGGGATGAGTTTTGGGATCGGGTGCATTTCCGAGTGGGAAATGGGGAGAGGGTTAGGTTTTGGAGGGATAAATGGTGTGGGGAGGTGCTGTTGGAAGATCGATTTCCTTTGATTTTTGGCATTGCGGCGGACCCTGAGGTGACTATGGCGAACTGTTTTGGGAATGGAGAGGTGGTAGTCTGGGATGTCCGCCTACGGTGGACAGTTCAGGATTGGGAGGCTACTCAATTGGAGGAGATATTGGGGTTTGTACATGGTTTGGGGCCCGTTGGGCGAGGGGAGGATAGGGTGGTGTGGACAGTGTTGGGTACAAAAGGCGTCTTTACGGTGTCATCCTTTTATCGGAGTTTGGTGGGGGGGGCAACTACGTTGTTCCCTTGGCGAAGCATTTGGGTTCCGGGCGTTCCATCTAAGGTAGTGTTCTTTTTGTGGATAGCTGCTTTGGACCGGAATCTCACTATTGATAATTTGGTCCATCGAGGTCATGTCTTAGTGAATCGCTATTGTATGTGTTGTATGGATGCAGAGTCGGTGGATCATTTATTTCTTCATTGTGATGTGGCATCTCATCTATGGGGGTTGGTATGCTCTTTGTTTGGGGTTGTTTGGGTGCAGCCCCAGGGGGTGTTGGAGATGTTATGGAGTTGGGGAGGGGCTCGTGTTGGTCGTCGACATCAGCGGATTTGGTTCGTCGTGCCTTTTTGTTTGATGTGGCTGGTTTGGTTGGAGAGGAATCGGCGGACGTTTCTCGACATTACTTAGTCGGGGTCTTGGCTTCAGAATAGCTTGTTGCTTACTTTATGCACTTGGTTGGAGTCACGGGCCAACCCGGATATATTTGTTTTCATAGATTTTTTGGATAATATTATTGGTTAGGAGTTCTAGGTTCTTTGTATTCTTTGCATCTTCTTGATGCTTTTCAAATAAAATTAATTACTTATCAAAAAAAAAAAAAAAAATTCACAACATCCATCCAGCACCCAAATTTCAATTGGTATACATATTCCACAGAAAGAGAAGCCAACTTATCGAGCTCTTCTATTGTTGTTATTTTTCTCTCTCAACAAATGGTGATAAGGGGTAATAGCTTTGTCCCTCATTTGCTTGTGTTTGTTAAGAACATGAAAGGCATTCCTCATGATGTTAAAAAGTTAAAAAGTTGGGCATTCAAGTGGCGCATAATTAATCTTTCTTGTTCATCACTCAACTATATTAAGCCTGACTATTGTTTTAGTGCTCCCTGTATTCTTCCAAAACAAATCCATGACACTTTCTCTAAAATAAGGGCAAACAAAATTCAAATTGTGCTCCACCATCCTAAACTCCCACTACTCACAAATTCTCTTTGTAGAGAGAGGTAAATGGAATAAAAAACAAGAGCTAATCTAAGATACGAAGCACGGGCACAATTCGGACCCGTCCTCTTGTTAAAGACCAATATAAAGGCAAGTGAAGCAGAAGACTTCCATTTCCACTTTACTGGAAGAAACAAAGACTGTATAAATTTGTACACGTATATATAACTCTAGTGACATAAAGTATCTCACATCACAACATAGCTTGTACACTTAGATAGCTAAAATGGTTGAGTGTAATTTTATTTGTCAATACTTAATGAAAAGATGATCATGTAGATACCAACAGACTTCTCTGTTCAATGAGTTGAGGAAGCATGAAAACTGCAAATACGATTGCACGGGCAGGAATTTATGCCATGAGCTAATTATACTAACAACTTTATTTACCATACACAACATAAAGCTAGAGAAAACATAGGTTTCCATCGATGTTGGGTTTTAGTTGTAGTACCTGTACTGAATATAAAATGTGCAAACCATTCATTACAAGAAAAAAAGTAATAAAAGTTTTGATTAAACATTCTATACAAAAGCAAATAGCAGTTCTTATAAACAATACCTGATTAACAAATGTTCGCTGGAAAGGGTTTTTATCAGCATTCAACTGCCAAGAACAATTCATAAAAGTGAGTGCATTGATCAATTAATAACTAAAAAATAAGAAAAAAAGGTCCTTTATTTTTTATTTGGTTAGACAATAAGCTAACAATTTTGTAAAAGAAAACCGAGTAAAACTACATTTTTCACAATATGAAAATTATGGCAGAGTTTATCCCCAAAAGAAAAACGAGATTGAACACAATTCCAAATTCACAATCTAATAAAGATTACATAATTCTAACTGCTTACACCATCAGTTCTGTTGAGAAAATCCAAACCAAAATAATATAAACGTAACATCAGTAAATAATGGGTAAACTACACTTAGCATCCCTACACTTTATCCCAAATCCCACTTTGGTCCCTCATTTTTCAATTGTAAAACTCAACCCCTCCCACTTACAAGCAACTATCAATGTGGTCCTTCTATTAACTTCTGTTTGCTAAATTGACCGAAGATGCTCACATGGGCTCTCTATACAGTGCAAAACCCAATAGAGGAAGATAATAAGTAAAATTCCCTCTTTTTTGTTTCTTTGTGAAGATTCAAATCAAATTAATAGAAACCTAGCATCAGCAAATAATAGGTGAATTACAATTAGAATCCCTACAAATTACCCTAAATTCCACTTTGATCCCACATTTTTCAATTGTAACAATCACCCTCCCACTTACAGGCAACTAGCAATGTGGTCCTATTAACTTATGTTTGCTAAGTTGACAACAAATGCTCATGTGAAAGTGAAGCTCACGTGGGCTCTTTATACAGTGCAAAACCAAATAGGAGAAGATAATGACAAATTTTTCCTCTTTGTTTAGACCTTGAACAAACAAACCACCATTACAACCACCACACCCCTCATTACTTCCCACACCACCCCCTCACCACTTCCCCCAGGACACCATCACCCCCTTCACCACTTTCCCCAACTACCGCCATCCCCACCATTTCCCCCACCATCCTCACCCCTTCCCTCTTAGCCCTCAGCTCCTTTTCTCCTCCTCCCTCTTCCCCTTTCTTTTCCTAAATCCATCCCCACACCTAACATCCACCACACCACCCACCCCATGCTCCCTTTCCTCCTACCCACTTTGGCCCAGCCAATCTAATAACACACAATCCCTTGTACCTCGTACGACGGAACAAGATTTCAAGCTTCATATTGTCAATTTGGGATGAGATTTTTGTTATTGCTATATTGTGGATCTTGATTTCCGAAATGGATTTACGGAATGAATTGGGGTGGCAGTCGAAACTGTGGTGACTGAGATCGATTGTGGTGATGGATCAATAGTGGCGATAGGGGGTAGAAACAACATCGCTCTAGCTACCTACTAAACCTAGCACAAAATTAAAAATGGACAAAAGATATTGAGGGATCGATTTTTTGATTGAATTTGAGAAGAAAAAATCAAGCCAAAATGTTTGATGGTGGCAATCGCTTGAAAGACTCACTCGACTGACCCATGGAGCAAACAACAAATTTCGCACCAAAATGAGTTGCTCAAGTAACCTAGAGTTGGTCATCATTCGTCATCCCTAATTTGAAGGCTTTTGATGCAGACCTTTAGGACTAATTGAGATGCTTGTTTGAATATGTTTTTGAGCATTTCCCTATAAGGAGAAGTGTGGTAGAAGCTCTCAAGGATCAAGCTAGTAGAAAGCTCTTCAAGTCACTCTCCTCTCCATCCTTAATAGCTCTGCTTGTAAACTTTCTTTTTTATTCTCTCTAAGCTCCTAGTGTGCCTTGTAAAATACTACACAAAAGATCCTTCAGCATTCTAGAGAGAAGATGAGTATGCAATGGAAAAAAGAAGAAAGAACAAAAAAAAGAAGAAAAAAAAAGGAGGATCTGAGTAGAGTGGAAGCGTACGTCTCGGAATTGAAGGAGGCCGAGTTCGCCGAGGTAAGAGACGGCACGGTGAGAGGACTCGGCGGGGACAATGAGTTGAACGAAAGTCATCTTCTGGGAGCGCATCGGATCCATGGCTGGCAAGTTGTCTATGTACTCCATTTTCCATCAACCGAGTGATGATTGCGATGGAATTGAGACACAGAGAGACTCACTAGATCTCCAGATCGAGTCAAGAGTCTCTCCTTGCAAGCTTGTACTTGCGTCCGTCCTTGCAGGCCTTCGGGTCTACTTTTAGGCCCAATTTTGATAATTCGAACCGTTTATATTTTATGATTTATTCAGTATATCATACCTGTAAAAAATTAAGTTGATCAGATATAAGAAAGTATGTGTTTGAAAAATTGAACTAAACACTATTTTTTAAAGAATTTAATAAACAGTTTTCCGAACATATGCTTTCTGATATACGATCAACTTGATTTTTTACAGGTATGATATACTGAATAAATCATAAAATATGAACGGTTCAGATTATCAAAATTAGGCCTAAAAGTAGACCCGAAAGCCTGCAAGGACAGGTGCAAGCACGGAAGCTGCAAGGAGAGGATCCTCACTCCTCCAGATCTGATGATTCCGATGGAATTAGCCGAATTTTTAAAATTATTTTAATCTGATTAAACAAATTTTTTTAAGAATAATTTTTGACATTTTATAATTTTGTGACATTAAAAATGAAATTATTATAATTTAAATGTAATATTTTATTTTATTAATTTTTTAATCTATTTTTTTTTTAATAAATTAAATTAATCCCAACCCACTTTTCAAACAAAATGCTATATTTCACCCCCTTTAATTATTTATTTGTATTTTATTTATTTATTTATTTGGGCTCTTGTGGTCCATCAGGGGATCGCTCCAATTTTTATAACTTGCTATTCAATTTTAACGATCGACTAATTTGATGGTTCAATAGTAAGGATTCACTTTAAAAATCTAAATTATTCATACGATCTATCAAAAATATTATTTTTATAAAAAATCAATTTATTTGAATAATTGTAACTATATTATTAGATCACATTGTTAGTCAAAATAATGATAATTGTAATTTTAAAAATATACCATTCATTATTTAAAAGACAAATATAACATAACAATGCATCAACAACTATTCAATTTGATTTTTGTAAGAATGATCAAATGAGTCTTACAATATGAATGATTTGAATGATCAATATATGCGGCATAATCAACCTATGAGGGTCCAATAACATTTGTTATTGACTCTAGAGAAAGCTTCTTCTCTTTTTTTATGTACTAATGATTAGTTTATTTGTTCATAAATAATTAATGAATTTTGATGGCAAGTAATATATTGCCACATTTTTGATAATACAAAATAGGGCAACCTTTATATGTGTGTGTGGGTGTGTTAGAGTTGGTAGCATGAAGCTAAATCAGGTGTTTTGTTGAATGGAAGTGGAAATTTGTTGAATGGGTATGGAGGAAGAAGAAGGGAATGAAGAGAGAGAGAGAAGAAGAAAAAGAAGAAGAGTATACCACTTCTGGATATAATGAAGAAGTAGAGAAGGAAGAGAGAGAGAGAGAAGAAGGGTATAACTATCAATTTACAACTTCTGTTAATAAAAGTTAATATGCATTTTAGTCTACCAATCACAAAGGGGTTATGTGGTGATTTCCAGATGTTATGGGGGTAATTCGCACCTTGTCCAAACCACGGGGGGTAAAGTGAAGTTTACCCTACAAAATAATAACAAAATTTTTGGTGAGATATAGTTGTCTTCATATTTTAAATCTATAATCAACCTGCCATTTAAGGTTTAAGGTTTTAGTAGAAATGCACTCAAAATGCTCTCTTTGAATTTTTAATTCACATAATAAATTGGAATTCAAGAGAAGGATGATGGTGACAGATTTGCATTGCAGGGATCAGAGAAATCCGTGGAGTTCAAGCCAACAGGGGTCAGCGCCACTGGTGAGTCAAGAACAAACGGATGTCAATGGTAAGAGTTTTAAGTCACTTTATTTGAGTCATGTTTTAATCTCTTGAAATAATTGATTGATTTGCGAGCCAAGTGACCATGATTTTCCTCTCTTCGATGGTTACACAAAAAATCCTTGTTCTTGTGGTCACGATTTGATTGCTTTAAATCTCTGGCAGATAAAGTTGATTAATAATTTGCATAATTTGGTCCTATTCACCCTCCACTATACCATCCATTGTACTTTTTCAAGACATAACAACCTATAAATCCAAAACTACACAAATGTCTCAATGTATGACCGTGTGAAATTTTTGTTCCACTCATCAAATTTCCACTGAGATTGCATCCAATACCATCTCCAATTACAATAACCCTAGCTATACCACACTAGTCTGCGATTTGCGTGCCTAGAGAGAATCAGAACGTTAAAAAAGCAAAAAAAAAAAACTTATAAATTTGGAATTCATGAAAGCGAATTAGCACATCAATTGAAGATGAGTATGCAATGGAAAAAAGAAGAAAGAAAAAAAGAAAAAAAAAAAAAAGGAGGATCTGAGTAGAGTGGAAGCGTACGTCTCGGAATTGAAGGAGGCCGAGTTCGCCGAGGTAAGAGACGGCACGGTGAGAGGACTCGGCGGGGACAATGAGCTGAACGAAAGTCATCTTCTGGGAGCGCATCGGATCCATGGCTGGCAAGTTGTCTATGTACTCCATTTTCCATCAACCGAGTGATGATTGCGATGGAATTGAGACACAGAGAGACTGACTAGATCTCCAGATCTGATGATTCCGATGGAATTAGCCGAATTTTTAAAATTATTTTAATCTGATTAAACAAATTTATTTAAGAATAATTTTTGACATTTTATAATTTTGTGACATTAAAAATGAAATTATTATAATTTAAATGTAATATTTTATTTTATTAATTTTTTAATCTATTTTTTTTTTAATAAATTAAATTAATCCCAACCCACTTTTCAAACAAAATGCTATATTTCACCCCCTTTAATTATTTATTTGTATTTTATTTATTTATTTATTTGGGCTCTTGTGGTCTATCAGGGGATCGCTCCAATTTTTATAACTTGCTATTCAATTTTAACGATCGACTAATTTGATGGTTCAATAGTAAGGATTCACTTTAAAAATCTAAATTATTCATACGATCTATCAAAAATATTATTTTTATAAAAAATCAATTTATTTGAATAATCGTAACTATATTATTAGATCACATTGTTAGTCAAAATAATGATAATTGTAATTTTAAAAATATACCATTCATTATTTTAAAGACAAATATAACATAACAATGCATCAACAACTATTCAATTTGATTTTTGTAAGAATGATCAAATGAGTCTTACAATATAAATGATTTGAATAATCAATATATGCTGCATAATCAACCTATGAGGGTCCAATAACATCTGTTATTGACTCTAGAGAAAGCTTCTTCTCTTTTTTTATGTACTAATGATTAGTTTATTTGTTCATAAATAATTAATGAATTTTGATGGCAAGTAATATATTGCCACATTTTTGATAATACAAAATAGGGCAACCTTTATATGTGTGTGTGGGTGTGTTAGAGTTGGTAGCATGAAGCTAAATCAGGTGTTTTGTTGAATGGAAGTGGAAATTTGTTGAATGGGTATGGAGGAAGAAGAAGGGAATGGAGAGAGAGAGAAGAAGAAAAAGAAGAAGAGTATACCACTTCTGGATATAATGAAGAAGTAGAGAAGGAAGAGAGAGAGAGAAGAAGGGTATAACTATCAATTTACAACTTCTGTTAATAAAAGTTAATATGTGTTTTAGTCTACCAATCACAAAGGGGTTATGTGGTGATTTCCAAATGTTAGGGGGGTAATTCGCACCCTGTTCAAACCACGGGGGGTAAAGTGAAGTTTGCCCTACAAAATAATAACAAAATTTTTGGTGAGATATAGTTGTCTTCATATTTTAAATCTATAATCAACTTGCCATTTAAGGTTTAAGGTTTTAGTAGAAATGCACTCAAAATGCTCTCTTTGAATTTTTAATTCACATAATAAATTGGAGGAGGAGGGGGTGATGGTTTGCGAATGTAGTGCCCCCAAAATAATACAATAAATATTACCCGAACATAAATTAAAAACAACATGAATCAGAGCAAATAGTCATTTCATTACATGAAGTTAATAATACAAAATGGTTTAACATAATTAAATGCCCTATTGGCTTACATCTTTCCAAGCCTTAACTTGGTTACACAAAAGGAGCCTAGCTCATACTCATTTAGTCCTAGGCTTTACAAAAATATACAATTCAAATTAAAGAAGTTCTTGCCCCCCAAAATATCCCTTAAAGCTATTGTCTTGGTGGAGGTAAGTCACCAACACGTGAAAATGTTACTCCCAAATAGGGTGAGCCACAGCTTAGTAGAAATCATCTAGTACAATATATGAAACTTAGCAAAGGTATAAGCACACTATGCATACACAACATCAGTGATAGAGATATCCACAGTTTATATAATCATAAGGTACCAATTTCCATTCGTTTCATTACATGAACCAGTTTCATTATCTCTTTAACAATCCAAATGAGACTTCAACTCATTAGTTCTACCATCACATCAAAAATGCATGAACACTTCAAAACTTTTACTTTACAGAAATTTCGTCCGCGGGCAGCCGTCAAACGGGATCCATATAAACGTAGGCTATACAAGCACTACAATTTTCATTTTACGGATATTTCGTCCGCGGGCTAGGCACCCATGCATAATTTCGTGACTTTCACCTACTACGTTACAACTAACTTAATTATAATAGAGTCCAACCAATTTCTCCTCCCAAACAATTATTCATACATATGTAATGTATTTAAACACAACATCATACAATGGAGAACATCCCCTTTCCACTCCCACATAATCATACATGTACAATGTATATAAGCAAAGTCATATCCAAATGTCAACAACAAGAGATCAGTTTCAATTCACCTAATCCTCATGTAATTTCTACAACAATCATGGTTGTCCTCCACCGATTGCCTAATATAGTTATTTGTAAATAGATATTCAATCTCATGACAAATAATTTATTCAAATTTCCAAAGAATGAGTTAATACATAACTTATCCTACCATTCATATCAGGACTCTCTCAATTTCACATTTTCAATGGCAATTTCAATTATCTCTATAAAATAATCATGATAGTCATTTTAGGG